AATCGTATCTTGGAAGAAGGACTCACAAGGTCATATTGTCAGTGTTTTGATCAGGTGCAACGACGTTGATATTAATCTAGTCAATATCTACGCTCCTACCAATCCTACCGAACGGAACAGTTTTTTTGTTTCGATTCACGAATTTTTTATTCCCTCCTCTGCGATTACCATCGGAGGAGATTTTAATTGTTGCGACAACGCTCTCGATAAATTTGGTGGGAATCTCTCTATACACAAAGAATACGAATCTTTAAAAAGGGATTTCGCGCTTTCAGATGTTTGGCGAAATTTGTATCCAAGATCAAGAGAATTTACATGGTTTAATTCCACGCGGTCAATTGGGAGTAGACTTGACAAGTTTTTGATTTCGAAAGATTTATTTTCACCCAATGTTAAGTGTGACATTCGCCCTTGTTCGGTATCTGACCACGATTTTGTTTTTCTTACCTTTGATATTCCCACCGCTGTAAAACGCGGTCCAGGCGTTTGGTGTTTCAACAACTCTCTTTTGAACGATAAGGATTTTTGCGCCACTATAGAGAAACTAATTGATGATCATGTACGTTTTTTATCTTGTTTTCCGTGTCTCCAAGATTGGTGGGAGTTTTTTAAACAGTCTATTAAAGGAGAAACGATCTCCTTTTCCCACAAAAACCGAAGACAATTGCAAAGAGACCTGGTGATTTTGACGAAGAAATTAATCCGTCTTCGTCAACGTTTAGATGACGGAGACAATTCCGTTGTCCCTTTAATTTCTGACACCGAATGTCGTTTGAAAACCCTTCGAACTAAACAAGTCGAAGGAATCATTATTCGTAGTAGAGCAGAATGGCTAGAGGAAGGCGAACGCCTCAGTCAGTATTTTTTAATTTAGAAAGAATTAAAGTGCACCTACACCCAAAAAATTTTTTTCGCTTAACGAAGTAAGCTTATTTTTTTGAGTATTTCTGCGCAAAAATTTTTTATTTGCTCAAATCTTCAATTTTCTATGCCCAGTCAAAATACGGAAAATCGGCCGCCATCTTGCCCCACGACCGAGTTTAAAGAAGAATGGGTCAGAAAAGATCGTCCATCGCACGCTGGTGGTTTGGCTGCTTATATTAGTTGTACTATGCCCTGTAAACGTCTCCCAGAATGTGAACTGAACGGCGCACTAACCGAGACCCTCTGGTTTCAAATACGGCCTGTTCGCCTTCCACGCTGTGTGTCCATAATTCTTGTCAGTGTAATTTATCATCCTCCAAAAGCAACATCTGATGATAGCACTCGCTTGTATATTCCTATACAATCTGTTGTTGATTCATACATGCGTGACCATCCTGACTGCCTAGTTTGGGTCGTTGGTGATTTTAATCACACCTCCACTAATATTTCAGCCTCACACTTCAAACGAACGTGCGGCCTCACGCAAATTGTTAAAGATTTTACACGCGATACAGGCATCCTTGATTGGTGTTTAACCAGTCATCCGAAACTCTTTCTGTCACCTAAACAGTTACCAAAGCTAGGCTCTAGTGATCATTACTGTTTTCTTGTTCCTCCGGGCATCTTGCCTGCCCAGCTACAGATACAAAGAACCTGTCGCCGGGATAGTTGTATACGAGCATTCGGCGCTTGGATAACAGCTTTCTCGTGGTGTGACTTGTTTTCACTTGAGAGCTGTTTAGAGAAATTTGAATACTTCCATCGTACATTACTGACGTCTGTGAACACGTTCCTCCCTATACGAAGCTCGCGCACTTGCCCATCAGATAAACCCTGAATTACTAAGAAGATTAAAACTGCGATTGACAAAAGGCAAAAATACCTCCCGAAATTCGGAAAAGACTCACACCTGTTTCAACGCTGGCGCAATAACGTCATCCGTCTTATATCGCGGTCAAAGAAGGCGTTTTACAATGCGAAGGTTAAGAGCTTGATTCAAAGATTCTAATATAGGACAATGGTGGAAATCGGTGAAATCCCTGTCTGGGATTTCTAGCAAAGAGGGTCAGTGGTACAGCCAGCTGATTGATGGAACTTCAATCGATTCCGTTGATGTCTTGATGGAGAAGATCAACTCTTTTTTTTTGTGATCTTACGTCATCCTTCACTCCCATCGTAACTGTTACTGAGGTTCCTGATGAGCTGTATGTGTCTGAGAGCGAAGCCTACAAAGCACTCGCCTCGACAAACACCAAGAAAGCCAGTGATCCAGATGACTTACCAACTGTAATCCTTAAGGTCTTCGCGTTTGAATTAGCTCCTGTGGTTGCTAACATTTATAATGCCAATCTCAAAGACACG